TATAAGTGCACATCGTGCCCTTCTTCTCTTTTCACCCGTGTACAAATTCTTTACGGTTTGACTCACACACTTTAAGTCGTTGGTAAGTGCTTTTACAGACGTTTAGAATTGCACATTTACATATCAACTTAAGTGCACGCCTCGTTATGGCCACAATACCGCAACACAATATGGCACACATGGTGAAACCCATGTGCACACAAACTTCATGTATGTTTTTTCGGACAGAATCTAATTACATCCAGTATGGCACACGCGTGACTCCCAAGTGCACACCATAATCCAACACCTCATCCTGGTTTCTGACGCGTCAATCTGTCAGTATCACCGCACACTTTGGCACATATAGTATACCCCAGGTGCACACCAATTTCTGTGTCGCCTTTTCAGCCGCGCTCAGTCTGTACGTTATGGCACAACCGATTTTCCATAAGTGCACGCTTAAAAGAATAACATCAACCTGATTTTTATGGGGTACAACTCCCAGAGTTTATGCACATTATAAAAGAACATGGTTAATAGGTCTCTAGACATATAGAGCAAATATTATGAACATAGTATAGGCTAAATGTTATTAAACATGATGCTTTGTAGTACAATATTTATATACATTAAGCTCTCTCTCTCTTTTTTTTTTTTTTTTTTTTTTTTTTTTGAACATATAAAAGGAACATCATTAACATACTATAAATTGAATAAAAATACATATGATATACATTTAGCTTAGTGTTTATGGATATTAATATTCATCAAACACCTGGATGAACTCCATGATGAGCCGTCATGACCTGTGGAGCATTGTACAATTATTTACTCAGTATATGGTTAAACAGTGTGGCACAAACATTAGAACCAATGTGCACGCCCTCAGGGCTTCTCTAGCCTGTCTGGCACATTCATAACCACATAGGTGCACACACGATAATCACGCCTACGGAGTTTGGAATATGTAGAAGGACACAATTATTCTCCGTACACGTGATTTGTTATGTGTGCTTACCTTGAGTTCTGTGTGCACACAACTCAGGTAGACTAGTACGGATTGTGCACATCAGAGTCGCAGTTCGTAACTTTATTTACTCAGTATATGGTTACGCGGTGTGGCACAAACATTAAAACCAATGTGCACACCATCGGGGGTTCTGTGGCGTGTATGACACATTCATAAACCCGTAGGTGCACACACGGTAATCACGCATACAGAGATTTGGAGGTGTCGAAGCACGCATTCACTCTCCGTACACGTGATTTCATGAGTGCACTCACCTTTAGTTGTGTGTGCACACATCTAAGGCTGTCCAAGTCGGGTTGTGCACTTCAGAGTCGTACTATGTGCCGTTATAGCAGAATTAGTCTGTGTTTATCAAAATTGCCAACCCAGGTTTGTGCACATAAAGTAATAGTACTCTTCATGCATTTGCACACAGCAGTATGATAATGAACAATTCATCTAATTCCAGGCTATAACTCATCATTACGTATGTACGACTTCAATTGAATCCAAAATTGAAAAAGGAATAGGTATAGGAATTGAAATATTATTCTTACCTTCGTGGTCTTCACTTTCCATCCTACAACATCAAACTTCAATTGTCACTTGTCTTTGTCTGTCTCCGGATGCACATTAACGTCGAGATTGAGCAAACGTCGATGGCAGATGATCCTGGGGAGATTAGGCGATCGCAGACTTTCAGACTAATTGGACTCCTTATCTTCTCTTCCTGAAATCTTGGAATCAATTCAAATATAATATTAGTTTATAATTGGTCCCTGGATCAACTAGTATCCTTTTTAATTAATTATGTTAAAGATCTACATATAAATGATTACTTTATCTGGACCATTGATTGAGTAAATTTTAAGGGCTTGGATTAGTTCTTATGTTCCTACCTAACCAAGGGTTCTTACTTGAAGTCTCCCATATATATATACTAGTTTTTTACGCGCATTGCGCGATTGGGATAATGCCCAATGTTTTTTTTTTAAAATAAGTACTTTAAAGTATATTAAGGCAAGATTATATTGAAATTGTTCATGCATAGATAATTGAAGGTTGAATTTGCATATTTAAATAGGTAATTCTTCTCCCAAGGTTGAGTCCCCTACCCCAAGGGCCCCCCACACTCTGACCCGACAGAGCATTGTAGGAAGTTGTAAATCACGGTGACTCAATGGTTTAGCAGACAGGACCAAATGCCGGTGCGAACAAGGAATCTGCCCACTTTGGACATAATTCCCGCATTGCCGCCGCCGAGGTTCAAACCTTGGTCTCTTCTCCCAAATACTGCCCACTAAACCATTGAGCTAAGCCCGTGCGGGTTAAATAGGTAATTCTAAGTTTACAAATGCAAGATAATATAGTCAAGATTGATTATAATTGTCAATAAAATAATTGTATAGGTATTGTTGAAACCAAATACGGGACATAAGGGAGAACAAATAAAAATTAGGGCATAAAATATTAAATATATACTAATATTGTTTGAGGAGATTTCGACATTAGGATTTGTGGTTAAGTTCTATTAAGACTTTAATATTAGAATTAGATTAATGGTGTAATTATAATTCTATATTAGACGTTAATATTAAAATTAGACTAACGGTGAATTAACGGTATTTAACGGAAAAGTTAAATGGATAATCATATAATTAAGGATAAATTAGAAAAATTTAAAAAAAAAAATTAAAACCTGAACAATTTGAACCATTCATTTGATTTAATAATTTGGCGGTCATTTTTTCTACCCAATGTTAATAATTAAATAAATTCGTTGGTCAAATCCGCTAATATAACCCGCTAACTACTGATTGTCAAACAAGGACATTGCAGGGTAGTTCTCACTTCAATTTGTTGTGTGATTTGAATACTCTCTTTGTCACAAAATCTCTCAAGTAGTTAATATGGTTGGCTTTATTAATTATATATTTTTAATTTTTCATGGTATTAATAAAATACTTGGTAAATAAATATATAGCATTATTTTGTATTATAACTTTGATATTTAATTAGAAAAATAGTGCACAAAAAAGATAATAGACAATGTAGTGAATATAATCAATTGATGAATTTGAATGTAAAAATTTTTACATTTGAGAAAAATAAAGACAATATAACTAATGAAAATATTTCTCTTAATTAATTTATTGATAATGAATAATTTTTTTTCACTGAATTAAGACATTGTAAGGACAATGTAGCGAATATAATCAATTAATAAATTTGAATATAAAGAATTTTTATATTGTAGAAAAATAAAGACAATATAACTAATACAATTATTTCTCTTATTTAATTTATTGATAATGAATAATTTTTTTTTGAATAAAGGCATTGTGGACACATAATTCTAAATTAAAGAAATGCATATCTATAATTTTTTGTTGTAGCTACTAAATTATTATTTATAAAATTTAATAAGAGTAAAATAGAGTACTAATTATGCCAACTTTGATTGGGATGAGGTTCGAACCTAAGACCTTTTTTTTTTTATTGAAATTAATGAGTAAGTTAACGGTGAACTAACGACAATTCTTAAAATTTTAACGGAATTAGTAACGGTGTGTGGGTATTTTAGGAAATTTTAGTGTAAAATTTAAATCTTATCAATCTTTTAATCAATCTGAGCCATTCATTTGATTAAAATCTGTGACCGCCATTTTTTCTACCCATTATAGGCCTAACTCTCTTGGACTCTTATTAGTATATATATATTACGAATATAAACACAAAAAGAATAAAAATCAAAATATATAAGTATTTATATGAATATTATGAAACATATACTAAAAAAGTTTAAGAGAGAGAGAAAATTGGTAGAGTTTAGGTATGAGGAAAATATAGGATAATGAAGAAAAAAATAATGTTATTAAATTTAAATAGGTTTATAAAGTTTAAATTGGGAGAAAAAATAGAGTTTAAATAGAGAGAGAAAACATTCAAAGTTGTTTGAAAGAAAATTTTGAAATCTGAGGGGTTGATGGTTGGATTTCAACTATTTATATTTGAGAAGAAAAAGTTTACAAAAGTCTTAAAATTAAAATGTCTACAAAAGTTCATAACTTTTTGAACACCACGTGACTTTTAAAGACTCATTAAAAATCTTGATTAAATACCACATGACTTTTAAAGACTCTTTAAAAATCTTGATTGAATACCGCATGACTTTTAAAGACTTTCTAAAAGTTTGAATTGAATACCTCCAAACTTTTAAAATTCATAAAAGTCTTTAACACTTTATGAAAGTCATGATTGAATACACCCTCCTTATATTAATAATTTAATAGAAACAAAATAGGTGTTTGGTTGGTGACTTGTATGCCATACTATCGAATTCGGTACTTATTATTATACTTGTTTGTCTAATTTTGTTATTCTATTATTATTATATTTAAATTCTTTAATAATTATAATCGTAGTTATTTATTTCACTTTACTCTAAAATATGATTTCAATTTAATTACGGAGTATTTACTCTTCATATTTTATCAATCAAATTATTTTTTTAATATATTTTTATTAACTTACCAAAATTTGAGAGATTTTTACAGTGCTAATACTATCATACATCTATGTATACTAATTTTTGTTGTAATACTGCTTTAAAAAAAAATTGTTGTAATACAAACTACCAATATATGTGTCGTAACTCATAATACATGATATAATTGATTATATTACACACCCCTATACCTAATAGTATTATTAGTATGATATACAAAGAATTTAAATAGTTTAAAAGAAAAAATCCAATTAAAAGTACAATAAGATTTCTCTGGTCATAAACTTTGGCTGGCAATTTATTATTATTATTTGTTATTTTTAAATTTGTATGTATTGTACTCCTTATTTTTATTGTTGATGTTGTTGTTATTAGAAGAAAAAAAAAATCTATAGAGAAAAGATTGATTTTTTAAATTATTTATTTATGATAATAAAAATACACAACAGAGAAATGAAGCAAAATGAGAAAAAGAAGCCTATAATTTCTGCAATAAATAATCTAACGACGCCCAGACACCATCGGCCCATCGCCGGAGTCTTATCCGTCGTCTCTGCCTCTCCGCTTCTCACCCTCCGACCCTCTTAGCCTCTCCGTCTCCAGCTTCCCCTCTCCGACTCTCCGTGGGTTCGTGACCCAGTCTCCGGCTATCCGGTAAGTCCCTCTAACATCGTCTACTCATAGTTTCAAACTCATTTTGCTCATTCTTTTACTTCTCTTGCCTTTCCACATTGGAAACCCTAGATCGGAGATCTTCTTCGAATCCTTCAATCCATTAAGTAACATCCTAACAGGTATATTTTACTGCTATTTATTTATTTTTTTTCTAGAAAATTAAAGTTATAAATGACTTATAAAAGTTTTTTGAAAATTTTTCCTTCCCTGACTTCAATCCCTAAACTGTATAATCTGTATCCGAAAATTAAACTTTATAACTCTTATGACTTCGATAGTGTATTACAATTTACAGATTAATAGTTTTAATCTGTATGACAATCAGCAATTCAGTAGTGCTGGCCACTCAGAAATGGATCGGGTAAGACCCGGGGAGCCCAACAGTTTAGAAGCTTCACTGACGCAAATGATCAACGTTCACCATTATAGGTCACTCAAGCTCCGAGCATTTACAGGTCAGTTGCCGAACGGAAAAAGATTCTATTAGAATTTTGCGTGAGGGATTAAATTTTTTTTTTTCTTTTTGATGTGTAATAATCAGAGGAATCAAAGAAAGGTGCGGTGCGTAGTGCAAACCGGGTTTCAAATCTTCTGGTCGATGCGGTGAATGGCAGTGTCCAAGAGGCTTACGTGATAGAGAAGAAGATCGAATTGGAAATTCGAGCATTGGCGGCCGCCATTATGCGGTTTGGAAAGCAAACCGATCAGTGGCTCGCCGCTTCTCATGCTATCAATACTGCAATTAAGGTATTCTTTGGTTTATATTTCTTTCCATTTTATATGTGAATTGAATAGCATGTCAAAAACGGATGAGGAGTTTGTACCTGTGTTTTATCCAAGTAGCCCGTAGTTAATTCAAACCAGTTGAAGGATTATAATTATTTTTTTCAAGCCGTTTTGACTTGTCCTATCTATTAATCTGTTACCTATGCATGATCATATACAATGAAAATTGAAATCCATGAGTGATTAGCATATAATCATTTAGGTTGGTTGTGTTTGAAATAGTGCTCTAAATGGTCATTATGTTAATCTTTAAATAAACCTAGTTGTTAAATGCTAAGAATATGAAACTTATAGGTCTGATTGATGTTTAGAAGGATTTTAAAAATGTTAATTGTTTGCCTTGCTTGAGCACTTGAGCTTGGAGAATTCTATGAACAATGATGTGATATTTTTCTTTGTATTTGTTCTAATTATACCGTTTCACATTCAATATTCAATTATCAGAATGTAGTTCTTCATTGGTTTGTATTTTATTTACATTTTCTCAAATGCACGAAAGTATTGTTTATTGGTGCAATCTTAAACGATTTCATAAACTTGGGTTATTTTGAGTGGATATTGAAGTGCTTTCCCCTCCTCCCCTGACCTTCTTAGCATTCATCATGGAGCTCTTGAGTTCCAAACACCCTTCCTTTCTTATACACCATGTTATAAAAGTTCAACTTCTTGAATACTAATTCTTTCTTGTAGTAGTCCATAAATGTGTGATAATGATAGGTGCCAGGAAATCAAAATGGTCTTTTGATTTTTCACAAAAAAAGAGCAACAATAGTAATTCTTGATATGCTAGTAAGCATAGGATTACTAATTATTGCTTGGATTTTATTTTTATCAGTTAAAGGGTGCAATGTTGATAAGGTGGCTTATGTGTTGCAGGAAATTGGAGATTTCGAGAATTGGATGAAGACCATGGAATTTGATTGTAGAAGTATCAGTGCTGCGATCCGTAACATTCACCAATCATAGTATAACTAAACCTCCCCTTGCCTCTAGCTTATACATCAAGTTCAATCTATCATTAATTCTTGACATTTCTTGTATACATGTACAATCTATTATAGATGATTTTTATGCAATTACTCTAGCCTTAGAATCTTGCTCTGATCGACAAGTTGCCAACTTGCCACAACATCATTGTACAACAGTCCTTCAAATAATAAAATATTACTCTGTAGTATTAAAAGTTCTGTAATGGCTGTTTTTATACTTCTTTTCAATGGATTATAACTCTCTTAAGATATTCATTGTAATGTAACTTGAGATTCACATCCTGAGTAATTGTCGTTGTTGTTTTTTTGTTCTTTTGGGTTTAAACATTGGTTGTCATTTTCATGTTGAATACAGTTACCTCTGTGCCATACAACAGCATAGCTTATCTTTGTATTATTAATAAGTTAACAATGGTTGCAAATGACATTTAACTTCATTCTGGGTCAGGAGTGGATCTACAATGACATTTAACTTCATTCAAATAGGGAACTTGGTTTGTAGCAAAACTTTTTTCTTACAAAAAAATGAATTTTGCAAGAGAAGAAAAGAAAAAGACTTGAAATGCGTGTTTGGAGAGCACTCTGCGTCCCTTTTTTAATCATTTTTTTTTTTTTAAATATTGTCAGAAACGTTTTTTATTTTTTATTTTCTTTTCTTTTTCTCTCCTAAAAAATTGTGTAAAAACAACAGATGTGTTATTTCCAGAAAAAAAAAAACAAAAAAAAACAACAGATATGAATGCTAAGCCCTGAGTTCTCACAATCTCACAGACTCACTGTTCGTCTGTTCTATGCCACTCCGCCCCTGCCTCCACCCTTCCGCCGTCGCCGTTTCTCCTCCAATCGGCTGCCGCTACCTTCACTGCCTCTTCCGTCGTCGCCGTTTGTCCTCCAGACACTAGTCAGCGCCGTTTCTCCTAGACCGCCGGCGTCCCTTAGACCCTTACTCCTTCGCCAACGACGCCAAGCGCTCCATACAATGGAGCGTCCTAGGAAACCAGTCAAACCACAGGTAATTTATTAATTTTAATTTTATCATCAGGGTCTCTGGTTTATTCCCAGTCCTTAAAATTCCCTTTTTTTTTTTTTAAATTTTATCTGTTAATTTACTGCTTTTTTGTTGCTGAAATTTCTTCTTCTTCTTCTTCATGGAGAGATATGGCCGTAGAGGATAAGGGTAGGGATGTACTAGATTTTTATTACTGTAATTATAACCTATGCCTCATTGCTTTCATTTACAGGGAATTTGTTTGAAGAAACTGGTACATGATATATCATTGCACTTTGAATAAGGGGTGAGGAAACACCTAAAAAGGGAACAAGCTTTCCCTGTAAATTTTAGCAAAGATGCGCTTAGTTCCTCTTCATCTCTTAAATGTCACCATTCATGCTGCTAAGCACCAGCCAAAAATTTCAGCATCATGTGCCCTTTTCTCTTCAACCTTGCATAGTTGTCTAGAGAAACAAGATAAACACCAAGAGCCCTCGATTTGGTCTGCAGCTCGAATCCAGAAATTGATTGCTTCACAATCGGATCCACTACTGTCCAAAGAAATCTTTGATTTGGCATCTTGCCAGCCGAATTTCAAGCATTCTTATGCTGCATTCCACACCCTCATCATTAAACTTGGCCGTGCTCGCCACTTTTCACTCATGGAGTCCGTCCTATACTCTCTAAAGTCCCAACCGTTTTCCATTTCCCCATCACTATTCTCAAACATCATCCAGATCTACGGTGATGCTGGGCTTCCTGACAAAGCCCTCAAAACCTTTTACACAATCCTGGAGTTCAACATGAAACCTCGTCCTAAACACCTCAACCAAATTCTTGAAATCCTTGTTGCTCATCATCATTTTATTCGGCCTGCATTTGACCTCTTCAAATCTGCTCATCGGTATGGAGTCTCACCCAACACCAAATCTTATAACATCCTGATGCAAGTTTTTTGTTTGAATGACGATTTAAGCATTGCCTACTCGCTGTTTAATCAAATGTTTAAAAGAGATGTTTTGCCAGATGTGGAGTCGTATAGAATCATGATGCAAGGGTTGTGTAGAAAGAGTCAAGTGAATAAAGCTGTTGATTTGCTGGAGGATATGCTTAATAAAGGGTTCATTCCAGATACTTTAAGCTACACCACTTTGTTAAATAGCTTGTGTAGGAAGAAGCAGCTTAGGGAGGCTTTTAAGCTACTTTGTAGAATGAAGGTGAAAGGTTGCAATCCTGACATAGTTCATTACAATACTGTTATTTTAGGGTTCTGTAGGGAAGGGCGTGCACTTGATGCTTGTAAGGTACTTGAGGACATGCCCACAAATGGATGCCTACCCAATTTGGTGTCTTATAGAACATTGGTTGGAGGCTTATGCAGTCAAGGAATGTATGATGAGGCAAAAGGTTATGTGCAGGAGATGATGTCAAAAGGGTTTTCTCTACATTTTTCGGTTGTTCATGTATTAGTCAAGGGCTTTTGCAACCTTGGTAAGATTGAGGAAGCATGTGAAGTGGTGGAGGTGTTGTTGAAGCACCAGAACATTGTGCATATTGACACTTGGGCTGAAATTATACCTAGGATTTGTGAGGAGGACAATGCTGGGAAGTGGGGTGATATTTTAAAAGAAATTACCAAGGTTGAGATAAAGCCTGACTCAAGAATAGTGGATGTTGGTGCTGGTCTTGGTGAATTTTTGATCAATAAAATTAAAAGCAGATCAAGTATGGTTTGATTGCTTCTTGGAAAAGGAAGTTTATATTTCTTGTGAGAAACTTATTTGTCTTTGCAAGCTTATAACTCAAAGCAGCAATCCTCAATCCCTGTTCTTATTGTCTAACTGCTGATTCCCAGTTTTTACTTGAGTTCTTAAAGTGTAGCCTTTGAAGCTATGAAGTCTTGACCCTATGAAGTTTCATTGTCCAGAATGAAGTTAAATGTCATTTGCAATCATTGTTGCCATTTCAAACAGTTGTGGAGAATGGGACATCAGAACACTTAGATTTAAGATGATATTTTTGGAGCTGGATGGATGTTTGTCACTCTTGTCTGGCTTCTTATAGTTGTACTTTGAAAGCCATGAACTCTGTTAATAATACAAAGATAAACTATGTTGTTGAATGGCACAGAGGTAAATTTATTCAACACGAAAATGACAACCCAAAAAAAAAAACATTACTCAGGATGTGAATCTCAAGTTACATTACAGTACTAGCTCCCTTCCGATGCTTCTTAGGTAAGTCACAATTGCTAGCCCATTTTTTATTGCTGAATCTAAGTTTTGATTTTTAACCTTTGTTTTTGAACTTCAGGCCATTGCCTCAAATGGGTGCTCTTCAATCCCTGCTACCGCTCTACTCCGCCTGTCTCTTCTGCCCGCCTCACCTGTTGCCTCGGCCTCAACTCTAAGTGCTCCTGCTTGTTGTCTCAGGGTATGCTCTAAGTGCCAATCCAGGAGTTTGATACCTATTTTGTAATGTATCTATCTGTAAGCAAATCTTCTTCATTATATTGGGTTTTGTAAGCAAGTCTTTCTTTGACATTTGGTTGAAGAACTTCAATTTTGTCCTCTAATCTCTATGGAATTTCTTTTGAACAAATAAGTTGATATTTTGGACAGTATGAATGCTTTTTGTTCAAATGAATTTATGACATAATACCTGTTCACCTCTTTTGCATTTTGAATATGGAATAATTTTAACAGAAAACATCAGTATGTTGATAACATTTTAGAGTAAGCTATTGCTTTTGTAAAACCAGTTAAGACACTTATAGCTTAAGCTTGGAATTATGATGTGCTGTAGTAGGCACATATACAGTAATAAGAAACTGATGATGGGGCCAAAGGACTTCTGGTCGAGCGGCATAGTTGTGGCCCATTAAACTATTGACTGTTAGAGTTTAGTACAGTCGTTATATCGTGGATCGCGGTGCATAATCGATTATGCATCGCGCATCAAAACGGCGCCGTTTCTTTAAGTAAAGAAACGGTGCGCTGTTAGTGTTAACGGAGTGACACTACCGTGTATCTAAACCGACACTACCTCACGTATTATTTTTATATTGTCAAATGAAACTGTAGTTATATCAAAATGATACTGTAGTTGTAGTAAAATGAAACTGAATAACATTTCACATATTTGAGTGTATATTGTACAATGAAGTTGTAATTATATCAAAATGATCATGTAGTTGTGTTTTAATGAAACTATAGTGTATATAAAATAAAATTAACTAACATTTTTTCATATTTGAGTGTATAAATATTGAATGAAACTGTAATTATATCGAGATGAAACTGTAGTTGTGTTGAACTAAAACTGCCGTGTATACAAAATGAAACTGAAGAACAAAGTTATTTTTTGCGGAACGGATTCCGTTTCTATTCATTAAATAAAACGACGTCGTTTTGATGCGCGGTGCATGATATAATTTGCCAGTGTAGTACCGGTTCAAACCTGTGACCTCTCATTTGGGAGAGTTGCATTTATGCCGCTTGACTACAAGGTCTTAACAATTTCAAGAATTTTTTAAAAATATTACTCCGTATAATATTATTCTATAACAGCCCGTTTGGTTTGCTGGAAAATATTTGAAGGGAAATGGAATTCAAATTCCATGGAAAACAAATTACTAGGAAAATAGATTCCATTGTTTGGTTAGTGGAAAAGAAATTACTGGGAATATGAATTCCATTGTTTGGTTGAGTTTGGAATGATAAGGAATTATGAATATAAAGACCAATATGCCCTTAACAATAATTTATACATGTGTAGTTAATAAATTTTGATGAGGGCAAAATAGTCTATAGTACTATATTTTCTTCCCAACTCATTTGGAAAACAAAATACCAATGTTTAGGTAGGATTTTCTTTTCTTTCACCTTTGGGAAGTCAAATTCCCATGGAAAAGATTTTCCATCCAACCAAACAAGGTAAAACATAATTTTCCTACATTTCATGGAAAATCTTTTCCATGGAATTTGATTTCCATCCAACCAAACACCCCCTAAGAGAATCAGCATTTTGGTTCCTCAATTGGCTCCTAACTATTAATGTAGTCCGTAGTTTTCAATTTCAACCAATTTGATTATCCAATTGTTTAAGATTTCGTCAATTAAACCCTTTTAGGGACCAAAATGATGAAATTTTTAAAATGTAAAAATTACCATTTTGGTCACTAAATCATTGGAAAGGGTTTAATTGACGATTTTTTTTTTTGTTAGATTTTTTTTTTTCCTCTTCTTTCTTCCTTCTCTTTCCTATTTGTCATTGCAAAAATCACAAAAAAAAAGTGAGGGTGCTCTAAGAGCAACTGCAATAGAGTTTTTGGGGGAGTTTTGCACCTTTTAATCCTATGTCGAGGAGAGCGAGCGCATTGGAGAGAGAGAGGTGGACCAAGTGATTAAAATATAATATAGTAAAATGGTGGGTTTCACAAAAAATTGAAAAAAAACTTAAAATTAATGAGGATTAAAGTTTTTGTGATTGAGTATGATGATGAATGATGAGATGAATATTAGGGCTCACCAAAAATTAATGAAAAAATCTCAACTATTGAGGTTGCTCTGAGTAGGAGTGAGCATCTATCGATTTTGGGCGATTTTTGATTAATAAGCGAAATAACTGAAATTTTAATCGAACCTTCATAACCGATATAATCGAAATTGACAATTTCTTGTCGATTCTAGTCGATTTAATATAACCGAATTTTTGTAGTAAAATAGCTTGGGGGACCTTTGAAGACAAACAAGGCTGCAGCTTTGGCGAAATTCCTCGAGAGAAAATTGCAGGAGCCGAATGGATCGGCCTCTGTTGATCCAAGACTCGTGGAACTCACAGTGAAAAATGCTCAAGCGACTGTTCAATCAAGTGGAACATCTAGTTCAGGAGGAACAGTGATTAAAATGCTCTGTTCAATCAATTAAAATTAATGTGTACATTATATGATTAAAATTAATGTGATAAATTATGAACTTGTAAAATATAAGTGAAATGAGATTAGATTTTTTTATTTTTTTTTAAAAAAAAGATTTTCTTTTTCTTTAGATTAATTTTGATTTTTTTTATCAATTTTTTATTTTCTCTTGAAAAATCAATAATCAACTGAAAAACTGAAATAACTTAAGTTTTTTGAAATCAAAATATTCAGATGGTTCCATTTTCGGTCGCTCCCATTTTTTTCTCACCCCCAGCTTAGAAGATGACATGGCAAACCGCAATCATTTCTCTGTCCTTAGCTGATGTGGAAAGCCGCAATTGGGTAGTCATTCGTATTATTACGTGGGACTGTGGGAGCTTCACCGTTGTTAGCCGTGGACCCGATCGTGGCCAATTATATCTCTAACTTCAATTCTTAAGCACACTCGACTGGATCACTGGGAAGGCCAATTTTGCAGTGAGAGGAAACTCGAGAAATAGAGCGAAAATGAGATTCGGCTATGCGGTTTCAGTTCTTCTACTTCTCGCGGTTTTAACATTAGGTAATCAAATACTTTTCTGTTTTTCCTTTGAAGGAAATTGTTGCTATTTCGCTCTTTGAGCTGACAATCGAATATTTAGAAATGGAGTAATTCGCAATTCCTTCCGTTTTGAATTTTGTGTGTTTCCAGTTGCAGCGAAGAAATCTGGTGATGTTACGGAATTACAGATCGGTGTGAAGGTAAATCTTTGGGATTTCAATTTCTGTTCGTGTATATATAATTCCTTCATTTCTAACGTGAGTAGTGTCTAGTGTTATTATTTTTATTTTTATTTTTTTTTTATTTTTTTATTTTGGAATCGCTTAAGCCGAAGCATTGATGAGTTTTTGATTTCACAAGAAATATATGATATTCATATGCAAAAAGCATTGCTGCCAGGAAATGATTATCTTTGATTTCATATATCTCATCTTATTAGATAGAATAGTGTGTGATATTGTATGAATCGTGGATTGTGATTAGAATGTGAATAATATATGGTCCACTCAGAATTTCTTATTGATTATTGAATTGAATAAGCTAAAAACACTTGATATTAGGCTCTCTATTTCTCGGAAGTTTGGTACTAATCATCTAATTAGTTACTCACCTACTGTGTATCACATATATTCTGGTCTCTTAATTGCCATTAGAGATTATCAAGAAAGAAGTATGTGGCCAAATTAGAGTTCACATTGTTTGACACAAGGTCCAAGCCCCCTGCTTTCACTGAAATAACTTTATCTAATTTTTCAATTCTAATGTTTCTCAGATATGTTTTTCAATTTCTCCCCTTAATCTCTATTGATTGATTTTTATATTTGGACTTTCTTCATGTATTGCAGTATTGCTTATTTAGAAGTTAGAACCCACTCCTTATTATTTGTCTCTGCTTTTGGTTGCAGTATAAGCCAAAGACTTGTGAACTCCAGGCTCATAAAGGTGACTTAGTCAAAGTACACTATCGGGTGAGTACAACTATTACTACTAGTACTTATATTCTTGATATTTACACATAATAAAGAAAAAAAAAATCAAATTATAAAATTGACATTTATCTGTGTGAGAGTAATTTTTATATATTGGCTTGGTGGAACCTGCACTTAAATGAGATATTTGATTTACTCCTGCAAAAATGGTTACTCAGTTTGTATTTTGAGCTGGTGTACTGCGTTTAGTTATACTGCCACTAATAAAGATCAGTATCTGAGAAAATGAGCATTATTTGAATTTCGTAGCCTACTCAGTTTTGGAGCTTACTGCTGGTCTTTGCAGGGAAAACTCACTGATGGAACTGAATTTGATGCCAGCTATGAAAGGGGTGACCCCATTGAATTTGGGCTTGGTACTGGTCAAGTGATTAAAGGTATATTAAATATTTTAGAGGAAAATGAGAGACCCTTACTACCCTATAGTAATTTTATTGAAAATCACTTTAGGACTCCTGAAGCACAAGGGTTAACAAAAAAAAAAAACCTAAGAATATCAAACATGGAAGGTTTAAGTAATCCAAATAATCCTAGCACCATTGAAAAATGTTCATGTTAGTCCTATACCATTAAATTGGTTAATTTAATCTCTATTCTATACAAAAAAGCGAGCATCTAGGGCAAATGTTGGTAGAAGACATGTGGTTGATTGACTAGGCTGCCATGTCATTTAGCAAACGAAATAAATCAATCAATCAAGAAGCCACCTTTAAACCATCAAGCCAGTGACGCCTGCCAGTCTGCCACCCCCCCTCCCACCCTCCATTTAAAAAAAAATAAAAATTGTAAACTTAATACGGAGTATTAAATTATTATAACTGATTTGATAAAATTCAATTATTTAAAATCAAGTTCTTAATTAAAAAATTTAAACTAATTGTAAAATAAATTAAATTATATAAATTTAGCCTAAAATTAATCAAATCTTGTTAATATATATAATTAGAATTAATTGTTATCATTAATTAAACTTACTTATGACTGGCGAAATAGATATCTTATACAATAATTCAAATTGTGCTTTTGATATAATTTCAAATATAAAATAAAAGCATTATATTTATTAAAAGCTTTTGTTAACTGAACTCATTCCATATATAAATAAATTAAAAACAATTAATTTAATTCATATATCAATGAATTAATTAATTAGATCTTACTTTTTAAACAGATTAT